GTATAACCTGATAAGGTCGCATGTGTCCGTAAACAACAGGTATACCATGACAATGTGACATGTGTCCGTAAACAACAGGTATAACATGACAGGGGGGATTTGTCCGTTAACAACAGGTATAACATGACAAGGTAGCATGTGTCAGTAAACAACAGGTATAACATGACAATGTGACATGTGTCCGTAAACAACAGGTATAACATGACAGGGGGGATTTGTCCGTTAACAACAGGTATAACATGACAAGGGGTATGTGTCAGTAAACAACAGGTATAACATGACAAGGGGGATGTGTCAGTAAACAACAGGTATAACATGACAAGGTCGCATGTGTCCGTAAACAACAGGTTTAACATGACAAGGGGGATGCGTCAGTAAGCAACATTTAAAACATGTCAGGGGGATGTGTCAGTAAACAAAGGCTATAACATGACAGGGGGGATGCGTCAGTAAGCAACATTTAAAACATGTCAGGGGGATGTGTAGGTAAACAAAAGCTATAACATGACAAGGGGGATGTGTCCGTTAACAACAGATATAACATGACAGCGGGATGTGTCAGTGAACAACAGGTATAACATGACAAGATAGAATGTGTCAGTAAACAACAGGTATAATCTGACAAGGTGACATGTGTCCGTAAATAACAGGTAAAACATGACAGGGGGGATGCGTCAGTAAGCAACATGTATAACATGTCAGGGGGATATGTCAGTAAACAAAAGGTATAAAATGACAAGGGGATGTGTCAGTAAATGACAGATATAACATGACAAGGTAGCATGTGTCAGTTAACAACAGTGATAACATGACAAGGTAACATGTGTCAGTAAACAACAGTGTTAACATAACAAGGTAACATGTGGCATTAAACAACAGGTATAACATGACAGGGGGATTTGTCCGTTAAGAACAGGTATAACATGGAAAGGTCGAATGTGTCAGTAAACAACAGGTATAACATGACGAGGATGATGTGTCAGTAAACAATAGGTTTAACATGACAAGGGGGATGTGTCAGTTAACAACATTTATTACATGACAGGGAAATGTGTCAGTGAACAAAATGTTTAACATGACAAGGTAACATCTGTCAGTAAACAACAGGTATAACATGACAGGGTGTGTGTGTCAGTAAACAACAGGTATAACATGACAGGGGGGATGCATCAGTAAGCATCATTTATAACATGTCAGGGGGATCTGTCAGTAAACAAAAGGTATAACCTGACAAGGGGGATGTGTCAGTAAACAACAGGTATAACATGACAAGGTAAAATGTGTCAGTAAACAACAGGTATAAACTGACAAGGATGATGTGTCAGTAAACAACAGGTTTAACATGACAAGGGAATGTGTCAGTAAACAAAATGTATAACATGACAAGGTAACATCTGTCAGTAAACAACAGGTATAACATGACAAGGGGGATGTGTTATTAAACAACAGGTATAACCTGACAAGGATGATGTGTCAGTAAACAACAGGTTTAAAATGACAAGGGGGATGTGTCAGTAAACAACAGGTTTAAAATGACAAGGGAATGTGTCAGTTAACAACATTTATAACATGACGTGGGGGGGGGGGGGGTCAGTAAACAACAGGTATAACATGACAGGGGTGATGCATCAGTAAGCAACATTTATAACCTGACAAGGGGGATGTGTCAGTAAACAACAGGTATAACATGACAAGGTAAAATGTGTCAGTAAACAACAGGTATTACATGACAATGGTGACATATGTCCGTAAACAACAGGTATTACATGACAGGGGATGCGTCAGTAAGCAACAGGTATAACATGACAAGGGTGGATGTGTCAGTTAACGAAAAGTTATAACATGAGAAGGGGGGATGTGTCAGTAAACAACATTTATAACATGACAGGGGAATGTGGTAGTAAACAAAATGTATAACATGACAAGGTAACATCTGTCAGTAAACAACAGGTATAACCTAACAAGGATGATGTGTCAGTAAACAACAGGTTTAACATGACAGGGGAATGTGTCAGTAAACAACATGTATAACATGACAAGGTAACATCTATCAGTAAACAACACGTAAAACATGACAAGGGGGATGTGTCAGTAAACAACAGGTTTAACCTGACAAGGATGATGTGTCAGTAAACAACAGGTTTAACATGACAAGGGGGATGTGTCAGTTAACAACATTTATAACATGACAGGGGAATGTGTCAGTAAACAAAATGTATAACATGACAAGGTAACATCTGTCAGTTAACAACAGGTATAACATGACAGGGGGGATGTGTCAGTAAACAACAGATTTAACCTGACAAGGACCAAGGTAACACGTGTCCCTTAATTACATGTATAACCTGACATGTGGTCGTGAAGTTGATGTAAAAGATTTACATAATCATGCAATAACAGTCAAATATGCATAAAGTCTAGTAAACTGCTTCTGTGTGTCAAACTCATAGAAATATTGAGCTGATGATGTGAGTTAAATATCAAGTTTTTAATCAAATTCAAATGAAGCTTTTTTTTATCACAAAACGAAACTATAATAGGCTATTATGTAAATCGAGCATTTTCCCCTTTTTTCTCACGATTTTTACAACACATTAAGGCGATATTCGTAACATGTAACGTTTTGAATAGAGTAGATAGAGAAACCATTCACACCTATCGTTGATTAGAGATCCCGGTAGGGTTATCTGCCACTGTTTGCTGAGTGCTCTCATTATAGGGTTTTGTGAACATCTTGCTGTGAAAACATTTGTTGGAATGTAATGTATAATCTTGAATTCCTTCTCACTGTTAACCACTAAATTGTTTCTCTAATGAGCGAGGAAACGTTAACTTGTTTATTGAAACAATGCATAATACATGCCGTTCGAACTAGATGTAGGAACAGCCATTCACATCTACAGCAGAATATGACAAACAACTGTTAATTACTATAATTATTCCCCTTCCCTAAGGATGTAACAGAGAAATTTCCAACTCGATGGGTCATATTTTTAGTAACCTTAACCCGGGCTAAAACATTAGTTTGAAACATTTGTAATTTGTTTTTATCTTGATTTTCATTGGACCTCTGATTTTAACGTCATATCTAATTGTTCCCGTGAAGCCAATAATTAGTGTTTCCCTTCATGTCATGTCTGTCATACCCTGGATGTCGACATAGACATCGCACCCTAGGTAGTGACTAGTCTGGTGAAAAAAGAGAATCATGAACTGGTTAAACGGGAGATAGTTCTGTGAATGATGGGAAAAACATACTCTGCGTATTACGTCACGACCTCTACCCTTCATATCCCCCTCCCCCTCCCACTAAAAAGTGATCGGGAACGAAGGAATTGACACGAAATGTACATGATAATACATTTATCTCACCTTCAGATTTTGACGAAGTCGTTAAAAAGTTGATAACTTTGATTAAGTCGTTTAAAAGATAATTACTTTAATTAAGTCGCTATTTATCCGTTATTTGTTTTCAAAGTTGCTTGTTTTGAGTTTTAACTTTCTGTCTTCAGAGACAGTTTGGCGGTAATTGTTGCATATGGATTAAATACTTATCGCCTGTATTGCCTTCTAACCAGACGTAAAGTCAGGAGAAATATGAATACACACAGCTTGTGCCATGTTCTAGAGCTACTGTATTACTTACAGATAAGTTTTCATTACAGATGATGGGTGAGCCAACTTCATTTAATGAAATATAAACCATATGGCATATCCATCTGCTGTGTCGGTAATCTTTCACCGCGGTGCAGAACTACATAGGAGGCTCATTATAATAGGTAGTAGGTATTTAACAATAATGAATTGATTGCCTACTGCTTGGTTAGAACTATGAGGGTATCTCTTCATGTGGGCTTTGGAAACCATTTAACATTCCGAATTTTACAACTCCAGTTTTTATTAACAGTTTGTATTCCATCACATGACTTAATGAAATGATGATCTGCCGCTTGAATTCCAGACAATGCCGTGTGCACTGTTCATAAAAGAAATAATTATGTTATATGTAAAAACATTAAGCTCCCTTCCCTATGTTGCTGGCCGAGGCAACCGCCACCATCCTTCCACTTCGTTGATGGCGGAGACGACACCCCTCCCCGACAGTGTGCTGACGGGAAAAACAATATGTCTGTCCCACTTCCAGTATTTTTGATGGAAGGAAAACAACAACAAGTTTGACCATAAAATCAATAAAACTAGGTCAAAGATTAAATAAATGAGAGATTCACATGACAACACTTACGAAAATACAGACACAATAAGACCATATGTTATGGAACGGAAAGCGTCATTTTATTTATTAACAACACTCGGAGTGTAAAACTTTGTCAAATCCATGCGATGTCAGGTCCTCAAAGCGATGCCAGGATAGTGATAACTAAACAATAGGGCACAATAATAAGCATCATCACAATATTGCCCTTCTTAAGTAGGTATTTACCAATAAGATTATGATCGCCTTTAGTCTTCATCAACCTGAATCTTTCGAAACCATGTGATGTACTTTTGTCCGTCAGTAGTCGACACATATCATATAATTGTATTTAAAGCGAACTCTTGAACACCGAATCAACTGCAGCATGTTAACATCGTGTGAGGAGGAATAAGGATATTACTATAAACAAAAGGAAAGTTAATGTTTGGGTAATACTAATCGTTCTGGTTATAGCACAGCTTAATAGTAAGTCGTCCGCGTTGGTCTTGAAGTTAGTTAAGTAAAGCGACTGATGTAGAAGAGAATTTAATCTAACTGATTTCAAGTTCAGGACGGGAAATGTGATCGACGTGGTCAAAATGTTTTATGATATCTAAAGACTGCAGAACTTGGCAAAGGTTTTGTTACCTACATTACATTTTGCTTATTAATTGCAATTGGGACATATACGTCCCCATTCTTTATGTAATGGCAGAAACAAATAAGCCCCTTCCTGTTCTAATGGAAGAGACAATGGACACCCTTTCTCTTTAAATCTCTAAAATGACTTTGCTTAATTTGTTAGGTTTTTCGAGACCGAGCCGAAGCTGAAGCGACTGTTCCCGAAGATCGTGCGGGTGAACGAGAACAACGAGCTAGAGCTCGAGATGGACGGGGAGATGCTGAGAAAACATGGCCATAATGTCATGCACACACTAGGTGGCGCCATAGAGAACATGGAGGAGAGCGACTTCATGAACACAGTTATCATAGCCATCGGCTCTACGCATGTTCGCCGGAAGGTCAAGGGCAAAATGTTATACGTGAGTAATCAGCAAAGTTACAGGTAGCTGTCTGTTCACATCCAATCACAGATTTTTGTTTTTTCCTTAAGCAGTCTTTTATTCTAAATTAGAGTCATAAAGACATAATTATATCTGGTTATTTAATTCGCGCCCTTTGACTTTGTGACTCCTGGATTACAATATCTATTCGAAATATTTTACTTCACTTCACTGACGTCATAATCCCTCGCGATGGACATCCATGATGATGAGTACCATAGTAGATGGATACTTTAAAAAAAGTTAGCTTTACAAACACACGGAAGTGATTTAAATCGACTATCACTAAAAGATTTGAAGTATATTGGTATAGAACTGGCAGCAAGGCTGGATGGTTTATCATTACCAAACACAAATTCCTACGCGGTCTACTTCGGCGATCAATCGACAATGCTCAAGAAAAACAAACTGTGGAAGAAAGAAATTCCACAACTCGTGATCGTTATGTATCAAGTTAATCGAACTCTGATTGGTCACGTTCAATTAAAAAAAGAACAGAACAAAAATCGTTATACTCGTTATTTTAAGGAAAAAAAACTAATTTTACTAACTTGAGTAAGATATGCGAGATAAACGACGGTCATTAGTGATGTCTCCTTTGTATAAATCCTGTCAGTGTGAATTGAACCTTTTATCTGTATGTCAGTATGTAATTAAGGCTTTAATCAAGTACATGTTAATGTACATGTAATCTATAAGTGAGTATTAGTCAGTATATAATTCGTTAGATGTATATGTATAGTTATATGTAAATTACAGGACGCGAATGACCAGAACATGTACATATGTACATTGTTTTGTGCAAGAATATAATATATATGTTCACGTCCATTTCGTACAAAATGTACAGACCATATAGACAGAGCCTTTGTATCGGCATAGCATGTTATACCATATCAAAACCATCAATACAACGATTTAAGCAACTACAGCATTATATACGTCTTATAGACATTGTCATTTTAGCATGACAACTATCAGTCTAGAAACCTGTTTTAGAAAAACATTATCTACGATTGCTGCTTACATAATGGTCGTTCAGATGCATCACTGACTGGTAGGGTTATGTTAAAATGATTGTCACATAGCTCCATTGCTTCTCATAATAAACTTGGAAGCTGGATAACCTTCCACGGTAATGAGTGTATATTCAACCGAACAGGTTTATAGTTCCATGTTTATAAAGAAGCATGCGCTAAGTGCGGCCATAGTCGAGGGATTTCCCTGGAGTCGGTCATATTAGCACCCTGTAGGTATTCGGTATCTGTATTGATTTTACAATGATTTCCTCCACACACTGAATCGATAGCGTGACCATTGTGTATCAAAACAATAGGATGCAGTTGTCGGTGTCGTCACCAAATACTTACAAACAATCAATTCAATTGACTTTCACATTCTTCTGACTAAAAGGGTAATCGGATCGGAACTAATTCAATATATTGCTCTTCGACCAAGCTTTTCTATCAACGTCCTATCTCTGTCAAAACAGAGTTACAAAGATAAGATGAAGTTATGTTTTAGGCGATAGATTAATGACAACTTTAAAAAGGAAAGAAATTACTTTGAGATTTGATGTTGTATACAAACCAAGAAGATAAATGCTTCTTCTTTTAAAAGCTTTTAGCAACTATATGATAGTTAACGTTAATAATGCTGTTTTGTATATCTCTTCTACAGCATCTGTGGCCGTCATTGGACTACGGACTCCGGGACGTGTTACAAGAGCGATACACACGAGAGGTCGCGGCGGCGTGGAAGAAACTATTCTACTATACCATCAACCAGATGAGGAGGGGAATGAAGGCCAGCAAGTTTGGAATGTAATTACCTGGGGTTTGGAGGAGTATCATTGTGTGTGTCAGATATAATGCCCTTTGTTTTCGGGGGTGGGGAGTTCGGGTACTGGTGTCACCATTGGGGCAGCAGATACATTTTTAGCTTTTTCAATGTCTCAATGGTCCACTCATCCTCGATATCCAGGGGTTACGCTCACTTTCGCTCTCTTCACCTATGGAATATGTCGTAGCAAAATTGAAGGCTCGGTGTGCGCCACCTTGTTGATGAGACAAGGAGACTTGTTCGATCCTTTGATATACATTAAAAGAATATCGCGGTCACGTAGCGGTAAATGTTGACAGCATTTGAAGTCGGGCGTCTCTCCTTTGTAATCTTCAAAGGACAGGTATCAGCCTAGCGATTGGTCAGTTTTTTTGTACCTGAGACCAATCGAACAGCTACATTTGTATCTTCGTGTCTTCAATTTTGCCATGACATATTCCAGGGGTGTAGAGAGCGAAAGTGAACGTGGTCCATTATGGAAAAAACACCGATTCTGCAGGGCACATTAATCCCCTCTTACAACAACATGGATACAGCAGGTCTATTGTTTGTTCGACCATTTAGGGAACAGATAAGACGTTAAGTATAGGTATGTTTTAATTTAAGTCATTCGTATGTGTGGATGTAAGGCGGTGCTATGCCAGGTTGCAAGGAATTACAAGACGTTACATACATTTATGTCTTGGTATGTTGTCTTATTATACTGTAAGTGATGTGATGCCCGGTTTTTTATATGCTGCGTAACAATAATATATTGTTGGTGTGTATTTTAGATATATTCGCGCCTTCTTACAATATTTTTGTCTAATCAGTGCAATTTGATTGTTATTAAAAGTTAATTACTTGGGTCCATTATTCATTATCAAATCCTGTTTATTTGTTTCAGTAACAAAGCCACGGACGTCTGATCCTGCGAAATTGCAACAGGGAACAGTACTTTGATGTTATACGTTACTCTATTCCTTGGTGACACTTGACGTGCGCGGAAGTGAGAAATTGGTTTGCTTGGGTGTGATAGCCCGTTGTTAAAGAAGGACATTCATTGGAACTCATGGAACTCATACTCGTTTTGCTCGTGTTGTACACGCACAATGTCATACAAGACATGGACGTTTAAAACATGTAGAACGGGTCATGAATCTGTCGGATTAAAAGAAATGATATTAATGAAAGAATGGTGGACTTGTACAATTAATATATATGTAAGCGCCTTTACCGACATGTTTTACTGTACAAGGATGTTTTATTGTCAGTTTTCTTTCTTGGAGATAGATATGTACTGATTCGTTTAAAGATAATGGCTACGAATGTGTCGCAAGCCATATCAAAATATGTGACTTTGCACGTAAAGAATGCTCAAAGGACGTTCCCAACATAGTATTTTCCTTCCCCGTGATACTCCCTACTTTGATTGATGTACTGGTTACATTACTTCTGACATAATTTTAGTTTACCTGCATCTGTCGCGTTGTAGGACTCTTTACATGCCAAATGCAATGGTTTGTTGAGTTAGTGTAGTCCCCTTAGATGGTTATATATCTCGCTAATTGTATTGTGCCTTTGACGTGAATACGTCATCAGTTTTAATACCGATAAATAGATCTTGTTTACAAATGGTATTATAGTCAGCTTCAAGTTAATGATTTATTGACTCAAATATTGGTATTGGTGATACTGCTATGCTTTAATAGATTTTCATACATCATGGTATATGCATTACATGGAAAAACGTAGCCTTTTTCACAAATGTATATATAGTCACTCCTACAATATTCACATAACGATTCAGTTATATTTTTACCTTTCTTGTCTACAGAACAAGTAAATACCATTCTTATCATGCCTTTCTTATTAACGAGTAATTTTCAGTACCAAGTTTGTTTAAAAAAAAAAGGAATCAATTTCTCTTTCATATGTTTTGTTTACATACCGAATCAGTTTCACTACCATGTTTATTTACATAACAATTCAGTTTCACTACCATGTTTATTTACATAACAATTCAGTTTCATTTTATCATTTATCTTACGTACATTTGTATCATTATCACTTCAAAGAAATACATTGTTTGAAACGTAACTACATTGTTAAACTTTTAATGCCGACAACCTAAGGAGCCCCGACCACTGCCACAAACTGTAACTAAAGATACGAATTAGGGACGGTTTTTATAGTTTTAGTAAATTATTTATGTAAAGCGAACATACATTGCGGAACTTTGAAGAAACAAAAATGTCTGTAAGACACGAATGTATTCGCAATTAGTGTCGTTGCTTGACAGGTTTCTATAAGTACTGAACAACTGTTCCTGTGTTAAAGAGTAGCCAATTTGCCAAATTATCAGTGCTGTACGTGGAATTCTAGCGGGATTTCTATTACACGATATAGTAGACTATAAACATTGGTCTATATACATTTTCTTATCATAATAATGTCACTTCCATCTGATTATTTAAGATTTGACGTTCCCTTCCAACTCCTATCTATATGGGAAGTAAAATTCATTACCATTTGAAATATTTTATATGCAATCACAGATTATTGAACATAAATGTCGGATGTCTATATTATATTCTATTATTTATTATTTATGTGCTACCGTGTTATGCAGTTTATGTGTTCGTGTCATTTTTCTGTTCATTACACAAAGTAATGCCATCTGTTGTGTCGTCAGAGTGAAAACATTTGAAATGATGTTACAAAATTCAAGACGGCATATAGTGACTTTGATTATAACGGACACTAGATAAAGTTGGTGTTGTAAAACTTGCTTTTCGATATTACTTGTATCTTTCTTGAAAAATATCCTGAACTCATTTCCATTTAATGAGATATATGAAACTCAGAGTGAGGTTTTCCTTTTAGCAAAGGTAAAAGCATACTAGGTTACGAAAACCTCTCGACTTATGTTTCATAAATATCACAGAAAACGGAAATGAATTTTAAATCCTATATATTTATATTCATATGTATATTAAAATGCATTTACTTTATAAAGGTGAATTGGTTCTAAATGTTTCCCTTGTTGAACAGTGACGCAGAACAAAACCCGCAATGTACAATATACACCACAATATCACGAGACATCATAAACAAAGGGAGGTAACACTGTCAAATGTAAGTGTTTTCTGTTAGGTATGCCATACTTACCTATCAGCTACATGTGCATAACCTGGAGTCATATATGTTTAAAGCAGCTATCATCTTTTTATATAATAGTCTTAAAGGCGGAAAATAAATCATATGTAAATACCTTGATTTTATCAATCTCTAATAGGAAAATGACACGATAAAATAAATATTAAATTGAATGATCTTAAATTACACACAACTATTCAATTTAATGCACCGGGCATTCGCTTATAGCAATTATTGAATTCCAAACACTTTTTTCCTTCTTTTAATTTTTATTTCAATAATACAGAAAATATCATTGATTCAAAGTTTACGAAATGGAACAAATGTAAAAAAAAGTATTATCATTTGTATAAATGTAGAATTAATAACGTCAGAAATATGTCGTTTTGCGTTATTAAAAGAAGTCACTATGTAGGAAATATAAATTAAGGTTATGAGATTTCAATGTTCGTAATTAAACTGTAGATAATGATAACGAGATTGATCATACTCAGATGAAAGCCTATGTGAACAACAGCTGTAAATAGTAAGGAGACATACAGGTACTATTCATACACGATAGTGTACTTCTACGTCATCATTTATCGAATTGTATTTTATGTTATTTTCATCTCACAAGCTTACAAAGTTTATATTTTTAATCGTTTGATCGCACAACTCGCTCACAGAATCACTTCAACTGTGTTTGTTTCGTACCTATTATGTCATGTCAGCAAATATTTCTTCATAATGTTTGATAAATACCTATAACAGGTAGTGTGATCTTTGCAGTTAAACGTTTGCACGTGGTTTTGTTTAAATGGGTCTTAAGCTACATACACACTTAACTCGAATGACCATCCTTCATCATTTCGTTTGATCAACGTCTATGTTGAATAACATATTGCATTTAAATTAAAAACTAACATGGGGTGAAGTATCCAAACAAGCCCGGTAGTGAAGTGTAATAGAATTTCATATGTTGTCTTAACTTATATAATATATATTATGATGTAGATAGGCTTTTGATATCACATATTAATGTTTGTTCTGCATGTTGATAAGATATATTTTCGAATTCACAATTCAATAGTTATGTTATATACTGTAAATTTGAATAAATACGCGTCATGCCTTACCCATAGTTTGTTATTTTTATATATTATTATATCCAAAAGCTGGTACATACATTGTATATAATTTATGATACATAACGAATTCTCTTGAGGCAACTCCACAAGTGTAGTATTATTCTGAAAAATAAAGTAGTGTATCAGATCTACCGTGCCTGTAAAACTATATCAACAATAGTAGATTTCAACGAAAAAAGTGCAACAATTCGTTTGTTTTTTCACAGCAATTGCATCATATCTTTCCTCTGCATCATGTCAAAATTGTCGCCAAACTGGCTATCATCAGTTTGTCAATGAATGAAATCTTTAAAATGTGAAGACAGTACCATTCCCTCCTAAGTGTATATTGCCCGTTTAGATAAACACATGTACAGTGAGGTAAAAGAACGAGTCCGTTTTGAACGCAGCTCAATTAACATTACTCTGTAGTAATGGGAATTTAATTTGGAAAGAGAAGTTAACATTGGAGATTCGCGAATATCGAATGGAATGGCCAATTGACGGTCATTTGTCAATCGTGAGTATCCATATGAATGTCCAATAAGACTTAATCCAGTACCCAATACATGTAGCAGATTACCTAATAATCATTGATTGATTACTAATGTACCCAGAAATGTAACGGAGGTGAACACGTGGAGCTATCGAGAAAACAAGTCGATAATGTAATTGAACCTGTATTAAAGACAGTTACTTCCTTGGATGGACATTTTGAATCTCCGTTTGGAATCTCCGTTATTCTATTGAACATTCGCCTATATTACTTGATGATCCAACTGTGTCGATTGAATTTCGCCTCTAGTAACTTAGGGATCAAACTGTGTTCCTGGAAATTTGCCTCTAGTAATTTTGTCAATAAATTATATTGATAGAAAAGATGGCCTATTGTTAATGCATATATAAATGGTAATAATGTTGAAATGTTAGGCCGGAGTAAACACAAACAGGTTTAAACAGACAAGAGAGCGTCCCAAAAATCCAAAATAACATTATTCCCTTCACACTGTTTAAATTTCATAACACAGATGAATATTGTACACAATGCGTATTATATAGTATAGTAAGCTACTAGTCCATCTTCAGTTGAAAATCAGCCTGTTAAAAGTTTTATTACCTTTTGCATAATGTATGTTGTTATTTTAAAGAGGTTCGTTTGTGTCTGAATATAACACACATGATGACAAACTTAGGACAAACAATGCCTCTAACTATGTCACTCAATCCTTTATTAGTGTCGTCTGTATGTGATATCGGGTTTTGTTGATTCGCGGGCTATTAAACACACGTACTAAGGTAATAGAACAGACTGCGGGCGTGGTACAATACTACGATCACTTTTGTTAATGATAAGATATTTAATTAACTTGAACATCAGTTTAACAGGCAACGAAACAACAAAATCGACAGATTGTTTGGACAGGTATACACGTACGTTGTACTTCAAAAGAGACAATAAAAAGAAACATGCCATGTACACAAACTTACGGTTATATCAATACACAAGGACAAGATATACTACAGCGTCAATAGACCAGAATAAAGCACAGCATCAAAATGGGAATCCTCCGCTCCCCCCCCCCCCCCCCCCCCCCCCACACAAAAAACCCACCAAAAAACAAAAAACAACCAGAAAACGAAACCTTCCGTAAAACTTAAGCGTTACCTACACAGACAAGTTATCTATGTTGAGTTTATTCATCAAGTATTAAGAAATGTGTCCGTCATAATCAGAAAAGAAAGTATAATATGGAATTTTATAAAGTACACACCGGATATATGACGCTAAAAGATGACAACGACAACAGCGAACAGCTAACATGGTTATGAAATAATCCACTTTAATACAGTACATAGTTATTTGTTAAGCAACGCAAATTACACTACCATCTTCAGATTTTTTATTTGTCGCTATTGGCAGTGAGCGTGAACAACAAAAATCTTCACGCAGATCAAAACGTTCAAAATTATTACGAAATACCTGTAGCTTTGCAAATATAAGGAGGATTCTGAATGAAGAAATATGTATAGTAAGTATCAAAAATGTATTCTTACTCCTATATGAAAATACAGCTTTGACATCATCCTTTGTTCCCATTGTACATTATATAGTAGAATGTACATTTAAGTACGTGTAGCTGTCAGTTATTGTGTCTAACAATGGACAGCTACTGGTATAACAATGGACAGCTACTGGTATAACAATGGACAGCTACTGGTATAACAATGGACAGCTACTGGTATAACAATGGACAGCTACTGGTATAACAATGGACAGCTACTGGTATAACAATGGACAGCTACTGGTATAACAATGGACAGCTACTGGTATAACAATGGACAGCTACTGGTATAACAATGGACAGCTACTGGTATAACAATGGACAGCTACTGGTATAACAATGGACAGTTACAGGTAACAAAATTGTTTTGAGCACCAGCAAATTTTAGAGAAAAATCAACAGTTTATTAACAAAAAATAAATAAAAATAAATGTATGGATATTGATGGAATAGAAAAACACATATCTTGATTCAAGAATAATCCACCTTATCACTATGTGGACATGAAAATCATTTGCATTTCCAAATATGGTACATGTAACTCTACCTGTACCTGTCCAGTAAGGTAGCAATATGCATTCATGCATGAATGGCCATAGGTCATGCTGCATACACACAGA